ATATATATTTTTATTTTTTTTGTGAAACAGCTTCGTAGTCCTAATACTGAATGCATAGGAAAATATACAAAACATGAACATTTTCAAAGCTTTAATATCTGCCATATTCCTTACATGTCCCTATGTGCGTCTATAGAACAAGAAACTAGAGTCCTGTGCTCTCCTAAAGGATCACATGGCTAGATTTTTCATCCATTTCAGTAAAAGAGGAATAGTCAGAGTGGAAATATGTCATTCATATGTAGAAATGTGAGTGCTTCCTTTGCTATTTATTTGCTTTAAATGCCTTGCCTGGCTTTCTCTGGCTTTAAAACTTTTAAGCACAGGAACAAGCATGAAGCAAGTGAAGTCACAGTAAAGTCCTGATCTGCATACATGTTCAGCCTAAAGTGACACCAAACTCAGGAGTTAAAGTTTAAAAATACATTAAAGTACCTGAACTATTAACACAAATGTAGTTTATTTGTGCATCACTCGGCTGTAGATCCTTAAATCATCTCTGAATTGGTGCTGACACTGTCCTTCCTTCTGTTCCATATGATCCCTGTGTGTTGTAAAGTAGAAACTGCTCCAAGCTCACTCCTGTGATAGACTACAATATCAATACAAATTACTAAACTAAGCAGGAGATTGTAATCCATCAGGAGCGAGCTTGGGTGGTGGCTACTTCACAACACACACAGGGACCTTGGGGAACAAAAGTAGCCCCCGTCCAGAAGGAAGGACAATCTCAGCACCAATTCAGAGATGATTTGAGTATATACAGCCGAGTGATACACAAATAAGATACATTTTTGTTAATAGTTAAGGTACTTGAATGCATTTTTAAGATGTAAGTACTGAGTTCAGTGTCACTTTAAATGTCAACATTAGCATGCAGTATATGATACTGGAGCTTCAGGCATCAGGCCTGATATATTCAGTATACTATAGATTAAATTGTCATGTGATGGTTTATAGAATTCTCTGTGTGTAGGAAACACAATTCATAGAATTGTTGCCTCTTGGAATAACAAAGACAGATGTGAAAGCAAAGTTTCTCAAGCAATACACATATAATCTACATTTTTGTTAATAGAGTACTTCAATGCATTTTTAAGAATTCCCTCCTGAGCTTAGAGTCACTTTAAACTCAAACAAATGAAACTCTGTGATGACAAAGGCAACCTACATTCCCAGGAGAAGGTCTGTACTAGCCACCTACATGTTTCCCTTATAATGAGCATCCTTTAAATGATATCTGCACCTGAACCAGGGCTGGAAAATTCCAGAAGCCAGGTAAGCAATGCCCCCTGAGAATCTAGAGCCTGCCCCCAACTTTTCTGAGCTCTTACAGGATGTTCTTGTCATTGGAAGCAAATAATCCTTGCATGGTTGTTCCTAAAATAGATTAATGTGCGCCTGGATTCTTTAATCATTTGTTCTCCCGTGACCTTAGCCCTCGTTCACACCTGAACGTTTTGTAGCGCGTTCTACACTCGACGAACGCTCTACAAAACGCTCAAACATCTAAATCCCATTGTATTCAATGCTCTCGTTCCCACCTTGGCGTATTTCAGCCCGTCCCTAACGCGCTACAAAACGACCCACGCCTGAAAAGATACATGTACTACTTTGGGCCGTTTTTGTTGCACGTTTCCATTGGGATACAGCCAAGTAGCCGTCGGAAACGCGCGTTTGTCGATAACCGCGCATATGCAATACGCCTAGGTGTGAACCAGGGCTAAGTCTTAAACCATCTTTTTCTCTACATGTATCATTTTGCATTCTGAAGCATGTGTTATGTGCCATACTCTTGTTCTGTAAGACAAGTCTCAAAGATGTACAAGTATGTAGCAGACGTCCACCAGGCCTTGTCTCTTGTTTTTACTCGACTACTGCATACTATTAGTTTAATGACATAAGGGAACACATTTGGGACATCACCATCTGAGCAAAGCTATCTTGCAGGTTCAATATAATTGTTCAAATACAAGTGAGTGAGTGCATATACATGGACTTACAAAAAGATCTTTCAGGCAACTACTCAATAGCTGCCATCGAACATCAAACTACAAAAGTATAAAAGCCGGCATTGTTAGAGATGATTTGAGTATATACAGCCGAGTGATACACAAATAAGATACATTTTTGTTAATAGTTAAGGTACTTGAATGCATTTTTAAGATGTAAGTACTGAGTTCAGTGTCACTTTAAATGTCAACATTAGCATGCAGTATATGATACTGGAGCTTCAGGCATCAGGCCTGATATATTCAGTATACTATAGATTAAATTGTCATGTGATGGTTTATAGAATTCTCTGTGTGTAGGAAACACAATTCATAGAATTGTTGCCTCTTGGAATAACAAAGACAGATGTGAAAGCAAAGTTTCTCAAGCAATACACATATAATCTACATTTTTGTTAATAGAGTACTTCAATGCATTTTTAAGAATTCCCTCCTGAGCTTAGAGTCACTTTAAACTCAAACAAATGAAACTCTGTGATGACAAAGGCAACCTACATTCCCAGGAGAAGGTCTGTACTAGCCACCTACATGTTTCCCTTATAATGAGCATCCTTTAAATGATATCTGCACCTGAACCAGGGCTGGAAAATTCCAGAAGCCAGGTAAGCAATGCCCCCTGAGAATCTAGAGCCTGCCCCCAACTTTTCTGAGCTCTTACAGGATGTTCTTGTCATTGGAAGCAAATAATCCTTGCATGGTTGTTCCTAAAATAGATTAATGTGCGCCTGGATTCTTTAATCATTTGTTCTCCCGTGACCTTAGCCCTCGTTCACACCTGAACGTTTTGTAGCGCGTTCTACACTCGACGAACGCTCTACAAAACGCTCAAACATCTAAATCCCATTGTATTCAATGGTCTCGTTCCCACCTTGGCGTATTTCAGCCCGTCCCTAACGCGCTACAAAACGACCCACGCCTGAAAAGATACATGTACTACTTTGGGCCGTTTTTGTTGCACGTTTCCATTGGGATACAGCCAAGTAGCCGTCGGAAACGCGCGTTTGTCGATAACCGCGCATATGCAATACGCCTAGGTGTGAACCAGGGCTAAGTCTTAAACCATCTTTTTCTCTACATGTATCATTTTGCATTCTGAAGCATGTGTTATGTGCCATACTCTTGTTCTGTAAGACAAGTCTCAAAGATGTACAAGTATGTAGCAGACGTCCACCAGGCCTTGTCTCTTGTTTTTACTCGACTACTGCATACTATTAGTTTAATGACATAAGGGAACACATTTGGGACATCAC